TAATTAATTAATTAATTAGATGGCTAAAACTAGAATCAGGGTGGATAAAATTGATGTAAAATAAAAATAAAATTGGATTTTTAAAAATTTAAATCAGATTTTAAAGGTAGTTTTTTGTTTTAGATGCAGTAATAATTTAATGTATTCAGCATAAAATGGCGCTTAGTTATGTAGCATGAAGCTGTATATTTTGCTAAACTCATTCAATGAATCCAAGCTCTGCAAGCTAAATAGGAAACTTTTATTTTGCTTGCAAATAATAATATTAAAGATTCTAACTACCATCAAGAATGAGTCCTTACATTTAAAGAGCACTTGTCATTTCACATCCATCATTGCAGTGCCTGTTAGTGGGCATCCACTCACCTGCCTGCCACATCCCTCACCTTGTGGCACTGCTGCAATATCAGCTGTCCCATTAAAGTGAATGGGACTGTTGGCGAGTCAACAGCAGGTCAGGAGCCGCTGCGGGACAGGAATGACAGTTGGTTTTTTAAAAATTATGATTTAAACCGAGTTGATTTAAATCAAGCCTTTTTACTAGTGATTTAAATCATGGTTTTATTTAAATCAATTGATTTGATTTAAATTTGATTTGATTTAAATCAAATCCACCCTGACTAGAATTGCATCATTTGAATGTTTATGGTAATATAATTGAAGTAAAAAAAACCATTACAAATAATTCTAATCTTTGTATACATACTGTTTGTACAGGTAAAGCAATTTCTTTAGCAAAAAAAAAAAAAAAAAACCCCACATGCAACCTACCTGTGGAATTCTTGCTCTTAATTAGATCCACCAATTGCAGTAACCATTTCCCCCTATTGTTAATTTTTAAATTACATAATTCATCTAGGGACTGTTCAGAACCATGTTTTAAATGCGAATTTAATGTCTTGACGTCATTCTGAATATTTGATGAGATACACTTTAAACCATTTTAAAGACATGTATACCCATAAATATATTTCAGATCAGCTCATCTTCAGATATTCTAAAAATATAATAATAAACAGCTAAATTTTATGGTTTATGTTCCACTCTACTTACAGTTTGGTTCTAGAGTTTCAGCATGGTCCTATACAATAGCAGAAGAATGTCTTGCTATTTCTCTTCCTCTCTGCTTACAAGGTCTTTTTATGGTTTCATTTACTGATTTTAATACTTTTGTGCAATTTTTAAAATATTTATCTGGTTAAAACCTTATTAATCAGGATAATATAACATTCTTCATTGCAGCTTTTGTTCAGGTTCCCAAGTTCCTAAACCTACAAAAGAACATAGTTGAAGTGGGCAGTGAAACTCAAATGTCTTACTTTTTCACAGGTTGCTGTTTTCTTTCTTTTATTATAAAAATTACTCTTTAAATGCTGCAGTTCATGGCATATATCCTTGAGAGTTCTTGAAAAAAGGAAGGGTAGTGCAGTGATTAAACGTTCCAGGCTAGAAAGCAGAATATCATGCGTTCTAGTCCTGTCTTAGGAAGGAAGACAGTTGAATGACTGGTAAAAGAACTATTGTAAATTATGAGTAATACTTTTGTGTACATGAATATAATGTATTAAAATCTTTATGTGGCAATAATTATCAAATTATCAAACCTTGAAATAGATTATGCTGGAAATATATCTTAATATTTGAATAGAATTCTTTATTGGCCAAGTGTGATTGGACACACAAGGAATTTGTCTTGGCGCAAATGCTCTCTGTACATAAAAGAAAAGATACATTTGTCATGTATATCCATTATTAAATCGTTTACAACCATTTTCTTTAATTATTACAGAAATTCACCAGTTAATTCAAAACTTTTTAATTTTATTTGCAGAAGATCCTTTTGAGGATTTTTTTGGTAATAGAAGAGGACCACGTGGAAACAGAAGCAGAGGCGGTGGTTCATTGTTCTCTGCCTTCGGAGGATTTCCTGCCTTTGGGAGTGGTTTTTCTTCCTTTGATACAGGTAGGATGAACTTAATTACAATGTAGACATTGAAATGTGTGCAGTTCTCAAAAGTTTATATCCTGAAAACCTGCAAACTGTGATTCTGCTTTGGACACCGTTTATGCAAGCTAGAATTATAGGAATAGGCAGCCAAAAAAGAGTAGGAGTTGCTGAGATGGACCCAGTAATTTGAGTTTTTCATGTTTATTTCAAGGTTGAAGAGCCTTTGCTGCTCAAAAATATTACTGATTTACACCATTTGGCATCTCTGTCAAGCACGGGAATCAGCAATATTTGGATTTCCATATGTTTCCATACATTTCTATTCCTTCAAAGATGTAAAACATTATTTGGTATTTTGAATGTATTCAGAACATGGAGTATTACTTAATACTTCTCATTATTGATGAACAAATATGGTTTAAATAAGAGGCCTGATAGTTCCAAACATTGGTCCGTCCATTAATCTAAAAGCAGAAGTATGCCTTGACCAAATACATTTTGTCACTTTTTCTTTCTTAGCAGGTTTCACTTCATTTGGTTCTCTTGGCCATGGAGGCCTTACTTCATTCTCCTCCACATCATTTGGTGGTAGTGGAATGGGTAATTTCAAATCTGTATCGACTTCAACTAAATTAGTTAACGGCAGGAAAGTCACTACAAAGAGGTACAGTGATTTAAATTTAAATTTGTTAGTGAGTTGTTAATATTTCTTTTCATTCAAAACAAAACTAGAATATAGTAACTTTCACTAAGGTTTGACTCATTGTTTTTCTGTTGTGTTTGATTTTTTTTATCCTGGGGATAAGTCTAAATTAAGTTGGTGTCCCTGTGGCTGAAGTGCCTCAGATGAGCATCATAAAGAAAAAGTACATAGTGTGTTTGATTTGACTTGAAATCATAGTTTAAAAGGTAGCTCAGCTAAAAAATCTTGCAAGGATTTTGACAACCGGAGAATTAATTGCTTCAAATTTGTGGATAAAATGAAGCTTTCCAATGTAGTTTGCTCAGAAGTGGGATTCAGCCGGTTGTTAAATTTTTGCATAGTTCGGAGAACTGGCTAATCACACCACAGGCTCGCCCCACCCAACCTGCCCCGTCACTCCTTATCTCACCTTACCCACCTAGGCTTTTGCCTAGAGTCATGCCCACAGCATAGCAAAGCTGCTGCTCTCTGGCTCCCTTGCCTCAACCACGTGGCCCAGCTGATCTCTGCCTGGTGAGTCTTCCTTCGCTTCTCACCCAGCTACCTCCCACGCGGTATCTGCAGCCCAGCCTGTTTGCCTGCCTTCCCTGCGTTCCCCGTGGCCCAGCCTGTTTGCCTTTCCTGATGCCTCCCATATGGTCCCAGCGGCCCAGCCCACTTGTCTTCCCCAATGCCTTCCCCACGGTCCCCACAGCCCAGCCTGTTTGCCTGCCTTCCCCGTGTTCCCTGTGGCCCAGCCCGCTTGCCTGCCTTCCTTACTGCCTTCTCTGCCACCCAGCCCACCTGCCTGCCATCTCCTCCTCCTAGTTGCCCGCCTGCTGGGAAACAATGGATGCTGCAGAGACGGCAATTTGCTACATACCATTCCGAGCCCCTTTCCCCCCCTTGGGCTGACAAAATAAAATCCTATCTAAATATCGTGACTGCCTGCCAAGTCTTCCTGGTGCATGCTGGCAAAAGGAGTGGGGGGAAGGAGAAGGGCTGATGGAAATGCCCTGTTTAACACCACCATTGGGCTGTCTGCGCCATGATGAATTGAGATGGGGGGAAGCAAAAAGCCCACTTGGTCTGTACTTGTCAGCATGATGGCGAATCTCTCATCGGGCTCGCCGGTTCTGGCATTGGGAGCTTGAGGGTTAGATTGCACCCTAAAGTCTGTCTGCTGCTGCTCCAAGCCCGGCTCTGGCTGTAGAGGTCACCAGCGGGCGTGTTAATGCATGCAATATGCTGCCGCTAAGCTCCTTGGTTCCTCACATGAGCACTGGAAGTCCGGTATTCCTTCCCCGCCCAGTCAGCCTGCGCTCCCCTCTCACTCCAGGCACTGATTCCCCCAGCGCCCCACGTGCGCAACTCCCCAAAATATTTAAGAATTAGAGCCTAGGGGAGGCAAGGCACACTCATCTCTGTTTCCCTCTAGGACCGGCCTTGGAAAAGCCCGTCCTCACAATCAGACTCCCTTTCTTCCAGCACTCGTGCGAGGAACCCAGGGAGCTTAGTGGCAGCCTATTGCATGCTTTTCACTCAAAGGAGCCTGGGCTGGAAAATGCATGGTTGGGGCGGAGCTGTTAACAAGCTCCAAAAGGTTGCTGATACTCCAAGCCTGGGTCTGGCTATAGAGGCCACCAGCGGGCTTGGTATGGCATGTGAATGTGTGGGCGGGTTTTTCCAAAGGGAAACAGAGACGAGTGCACTTTGCCTCTCCGTAGCTCTAATTCTAAAAATTTTTGGGCGGTTGCGTACCTGGGGCGCTGGGAGAATTGGTGAGAGAGGAGAGCGCGGGCTGACTAGGTGGGGAAGGAGTACCAGACTTCTAGTGCTTGTGAGGGGAACCCAGGCTTGGAGTTTTTATTTTGACAGCCCAAAGGGGGGTAGGGAAGGGGCTCGGAATGGTACATAGAAATTGCCGTCTCTGCAGTATCTGCCCGCCTGTGCCGCCCCACCTTGCTGTAAGTGACATTGAGTTGGCCACACACACCCAGTCACATGAGCCCTCTCCAGCCATATCCATCTAGCCAGTCACTAAGAAGAACCGGTTGTTAAATTCCTTGAATCCTACAAGTCAGTTTCCTGCTCTAAGCTACCGTCTCATAGTTAATCACTATGGGCAAGATCTCTCTGTTATACTTTTACTGTTTAAAAAACAAAACAAAAACCAACACCCATTCTCTTCCGTGGATTTTTGTCCTGCAGAATTGTTGAGAATGGACAAGAGAGAGTAGAGGTTGAAGAAGATGGCCTGTTAAAGTCTTTAACAATAAATGGTAAGGAGCAGCTGCTACCCTTGGATAACAAGTAATTCATCGCACGCATTTAACAGAAATTTTAAGTTATAACAAGCACCCTTTGCGGATTAACAGGAACATTTTTTGAAGATTTCAGACGAACTCTCATTATACTATACGTAATCTAAAGTATTTTAAAATGGCTCATCAGAGCTCGTATGTCAGATTTTATGCGTTTTAATTTCTGGGACCACATGATTAGGACCATTTTAAAAATTGTTGTAAATTTCTGTACGCACTTTGCTTTATATTAAACATGATTTTAGGTAAGCCTTTACGCTATTGTTAGGGATTTGAATTGTACGATAATATTAGCATGAACCTTGCTTTTTGCTATTTTTTGTTTTTAGGTGTTGACATGTGAGCCAATTAATACTCTACTGTGAAGTTAACATTTCTGAGGCAAATTTAATTTCAAGCATTTAGCATTTATAGTGAATAATGTTAACATGTTACTGATGGTGCATTTCTGGTTTAAACAAATTAAGGATGTTTTTTTTTTTTTTTAGTTTTTGCATGATTGCTGGCAACTTAGCTTATTTTAACAAAAATGTGTAATGTTTAAGCCTAAGCTAATAAATTAAAACTATTGAGCTTAGGTATTTTGTCATTTTTTCTAAAAAGTTAAAAATGAATAAATGCTGATATTTGTGGTGCTTCTTTCTTGGGATAATACTTGTAGCTTTGATATGTGCCTGTGTAACTTGAAGGATACTAATTATATTTTGCTTTCAGCTCTTCCTGTGAGCTTTTCCTTTGCACACATTCTTTATATAAAACTTGGATTCCGCTTAATGTCAGACACAACATTCTGAACTAACACAAATATAATTTCTTTAAATTGGGTAAACTTTAACCTGATAATTTAAAAATTATTTTTTAAGACTAATAGAGGTCTTAAGTACAGTTTTATTACAGGTAGGTCTCAACTTACAACCATTCGGTAATGGCACTGAAAGAGGTGGTTTATAACCAGTCCTTGCATTTTGCACTGTCACAGCCTCCCTTTGGTCATGTGATCAAAATTTGGGCTCTTGGCAACGAGCATGTATTTACGACGTTATGTGATTGCCATTTGTGATCTTCCCAGCCAGCTTCTGACTAGCAAGCTCACTGGGGAAAGATGGATTCACTTAACAACCATGTGATTCACTTAACAACTGCAGTGATTTGCTTAACAACCATGGGAAAAGGTTATAAAATCAGGCATAACTCACTGCCTTGTTTAGCAATGGAAATTCTGGTCCCAGTTTTGGTTGTAAGTTGAAGACCACCTGCACTGTGTTTAAGTACAATTTTCACCCAGAGGTCTTAAAAACTATTTTTAATAATGCAATCGAATCTTGGAAAAACATTAGTTTGCTTTTCATTTTATCCAAACCAATGGATGACAGCAAAAGGACTCCCCCCCCCCCCCAAATTATGTTTTGTTAAGACAAGGCAACTTTACAAGGCTGCTATGATTTTGAGATACCGCCCTTTGGATTATTGCTTGCCCTTTCCTAAGGAGAGAGTGACATTCCTTGAGAAGATGGGCTTCCCTTTAAGAAATAAAGCATTCACTTACAAAATAAGGAGCGTTCAGCAGGCTTATGCTATAAGGAAATCTCAGTAACAAAATAACAATAGATAAAAATAATAAATACTAACATGGAAACACATTACCTATCTCCAGTTTATTTCTTTCAGAAGTAAGTGAGCAACAGATTTCAGATTAAGTTCTAAGCTATTCATTGGCTGTTACTGAATGTTGGTTAGAATTACTGAGATTTTAGTAGAAGTTTCAGATAAACTCACAGATCAGCTTTATCAAGTTGTAACTATCTGTGCACTTAAAACATGTATGCATACCATATGCATGTTCCAAGATTATGCTCAATCTAATGTCTAGTGACAATTGTGTTTAAAAAGCATTGTGCTTTCAGAGGGCTACCTGAAGGCCCATTAAAGCCCAAATATACATTTGTCAATGGGAGAAAATCTTTATATTAAAATTATTGGAAGTTAAAATTCTTTGAAAGAGTTTTCTTATAATAGAATTTATCTTGACTGGTGAGCTAGAAGAAACAAATCAGAATAAAACATGCTTCTGTTTAATTTTTAATTAAGTCTATGAAAATTGCTGAAGTATACCATGAATGAGCTATTTTTGTTGAAAATGTTCCTGTTTCTTAACACACACAGAACAGTTTTATATACATAAAAATTCTTCTACTAGGCAAAACTTACCAGGAAACAGAAGAGTAACTTACCAACTTTTGTGCTACTTCATCACAGCATAGTATATTCCACAATATATTCCCAGCAGCACACAGAGCAGGTTTAATATGGGCACTTTGGCTTGACTGGTGCATTGAAGTTAATCTAAGGCTCTGTGTGTACTGAAGTTCAAATATCAGAACTGTATATCAAAAATGCCAAATTATGCATCCTTCCCTCCTAATACAGTTTGACATCTTTGTTATGCAAAGTTTTTCCCCCATATCATTTGAAATTTCATCAGATATGGATTATTTATTTGCAAAGCATTCATCTCCAACCTTTAAATGAAAGCACAGCCTTAAGAGGGTTTTGTCAAAATACCTGATCAATTACTGTTATTAACAAACATACCCTATATGTGATGTTGCCTTCCAAGAACAGATATCGTCAGAATGCTGAATCCATTGCCAGTTAATTTCTGCATTTGCACTGCATGATCATAGCATTGACAAAGCCCTGGCCACCTGCTTGCCTGGCTTGCTTGCCTGACTTGTTTCAAATATATTGCCTACAGGTAGTCCTCACTTAGCGACTATGTTTGGAACTGGCAACTGTCGCCATGGTTGCTCAGCAGAAATTCATGTGATTGTGTCAGGCTAACTTCCTCTTTTGTTAAGTGAATCACTGGTCATTAGGTAAAAACATGTGACTGTGACTTACAACTTCTGCCTTCTCTATTAACTATGCTTGTTACAAACCAGTTGCAAAGCACACAAATGGCAATCGTGACTGAGAGATGCTGCAATGGTTGTAAATACACACTGGTTGCAAAGCATCTGACTGGCAGTCGTGTGGCTCTGCAATGGTCATAATTGTGAGAACTGCTCACAAAGCTATTTTTACACTAGTAACTATACAGTTGCTAAATGAGGCAGTTGGTAAGTGAGGACTATATTGGCACCTAATCATTTGGATCTAACTCTTAGTTACTAATCTTTCTGACAGTGCAAGCGGATCAGATTTTATGTTGCTTCTTTGTACAGAACATTAAATTTAACTGGATACATATGTTCTTGGAATGTCAAAGAGTGAAAGTCACACAGAGTGAAGGCATGGGATCTTTAAGGACATTTATTTGGTTCGTTTGTTTGCAATTCTCACATTCTGATGAATCTGTTGCTATAACCACATCGTGAAATATCATTTCCCAGTAACTGTTTATAAGCAAAATATTAGATTCTGCCCCTGAAAATTGCTGCTAGGAAAAGAGTAATGGGTGATATTATCCACTGCTTGAGCTAGTGAAGGAAGCATACAACTGTTTGCCTTTGATGGATTTTGATCTGATTTTGTGATAAAAGGAAGCACTGTGCATGAGTAATAGAAATATTATAGGATCTGAAGAGAATGCCTATAGTAGAGACACAATTACATCAACCAGGTTCTTTGAAGGCAAGAAGACCCCCTTCCAGGCATAAATATTTGCTCCAGCTGTCCTGGTTATTTCTTTCATCTGTAGGTCCTCCCTTCTACTTATATTTTTTTCTTCAGTTCTATCTAGTTTTCAACATATGAAATCCTTGGTTGATTTCTTGAGTGAAGCAAAATGCACTGCCTACTAAGCTTAATAAGAGGAACTAGACAGTTATTTGGTGCTCTCTGATCTTGGTTGTTTCCTTGCAGATGTTTCATTACCTTACTAGGTAACAACATCCAGATTAGGAAATAAGATTTTGATTTCTAGAGGACATGGAGTCTAATGTGGAGGGGAAGTGATAGAAGGATAACTTGTTTTTTTTCAACATTTTCTTAACTATAGCTCCAGAGGTACCAGACAAATGGGTAGGAAAGCACACTACACAAATCCTCCTTTCTGTTTACATCTTCCACCCATATTTCCATTACAGTACATCCTACTCTTTTCTCCCAGTAACCCAATTGTATCAAATTCTATAGTAAAAAGTTACTGTTCGTGAACAATCTTTCATACTGTGTTGATTTTTTAAATCTGAATTTTGTCCTGCCTTTACTGTTTTATAAAAACTCAAAGCAGTGAACATACATATTCCTATTTTCCCCACAATAACAATTCTCGCAGATAGTTCAGGCTGAGAGAAGGACTAACCCATCTGGCTTTCATGCCTAAGGTGGGACTTAGTTGCATCTAATTCTATTTAAATACCTGAGGCAAATCACTTATTTGTCTTACTAATTTCAACTGAACTTACGTCCATTTAACTTGAATGGACTGCATCCAGCCTGTTATTTATCACTGTATTTCAAAACACAGTGTTTTGGCATTATTTTGCCTTCAAACTTAGGTAAACTTCAAAATATTTTATGGACAGCTACTATTTTGATTTAAAAGTAGTCCCAAACAGCTGCTACAATCTATTTTTTTTAATTTGTTCTACTTCGAAATAGAGCTTGCTACCTTTAGTTCTGATACTCGGTTCTGCTATTCCATTGTCTACATTGTGAACAAAGTGCAGTTCTTAAGTGCATTTCATTAACCTGTCTTTTATCCAGTTGCTAGATTGAATGCTTTCGTTGTAACTTTGGATTGATTTCCGACAAGGTATTGCTAAATTGTTCGGTTTTTTTAAAAAAATGGGGTGTTTTTTTTTTTGGTAAAGGAAAAGTGTTTCTGCCAATTGTTTAAGAGAAAATTTTTTCGTTGTTGAATATTGTTACATTCATATTTGGGCCTTTTTTGTTCTGCCTGCTGAGCTATGGTTGATTTGTAATTGACAGTAATTGTAATTGTGTCAGTATATTTCAGTTACTATGCTGTAATGTATGTCTGGAGTATTTCTGTTGGCTGACTTATTTGCAGGATTGTGTCCTCAAACTCTTTTTTAAGTTGCTTAGCTTCAGTTTCTTCATCTGTAAAATTATTTTACTGACTTTAAAACATCTCACTGATTAATATGTGTTTAATAAAATGTATCAGGTTATATAATATCATGACAAAAGACTTTTGATTTAATATAATTTATTTATAGCACTTATTCCCAAGCAGGGTATTACTCTATGAAATATTAATTTAGCTTTTAATTGGGAATATTTTGGACTACTAGATCTCAGCTCCAAAAATCTGACCAATTGTTAGACAAAAGCAAAGAAACTGTAGAAATACTGTGCTATCCACTTATCTGGTTTTTGCAGCTCAAGTCTGGTAGTTCTAGAGGTGTTGAATTACTATCTTAAATAAGTAGAAATTCTTATTAGAATCTCTTCTGGCTCCTTTGTTTGGCTATCTCCTTTCCCCCCCCACTTTTGCTTGCAATTTGAAACTATCATGACAGTAGGATGCTGATGAATATTTATTTGATTGGTAGAAATAGCCATCTGTGCCTCAAAAAACTTTCTCACACAAAATAATAAACCAACATAAGATCCCTGGTACCCAGGCATAAACAATAACCCTGGTAATAGGGAAAAGCACACCAGCAGAATTCATCTACTATCTGATCCAAATGGCTAGGTATTAAGCCTTCCAAAAGGCTAACTTGGATTAAGATCACTTATTTGTTCACTTATTATAGCTACAATTTTAGACAAGTGATTGTGGATGGCAAACAATAATAAAACAATTAAAAATTACAATATCATACAAAAGCAAATAAGCCTGGTAGCCAAAAATTATGATCAACAGAGTTATAAATATAGCAGGAAACAAGGACATTCACACCCTTGGAATCCCTGGCCATGGCACACAGGTCTTCAAGGTCTTAAGGAGAGGTCAGTGGAGTTGGGGTTATCCTAATTTCTGGAGGGAGAATGTTAAAGAGGGCAGAGGCTACAGCAGAAAAACATCTCTTAGTACTTACCAGCTGACATTCCTTGGCTAAGGGATCCATAATATGCCCAACATACTGGATTGAATTGGTTGGATAGAAACAGCTGGGAGAAGATGGTCGCTCAGGTAAGGTCATCCCAAGCTATGAAGGGCTTAAAAAGTGACAACCAGAACTTTGAATTGCACCTCAAACCATATTGGCAACCAATGCAGCTCACGGAGTAGTGATGTTACATATGCTGAATGTCTAACACTATTAACTGTGCAGCCATATTTTGCATCAGTTGAAGCTTCTAAATGCTTTGCAAGGGCAGCCCCATGTAGACTGTGTTGCGGTAATCCAAGTAAGATGTCATGAGGCATTAGTAAGGGTGAGCAAAGAAACGGGGGAAAACTAGTGCTTAACCTTAAGATGCACAAAGGTCCTCCTAACTATGGCTGCCACCTTCTAGCAGGAACTATGTCTAGGAAATTGTGCACTGGGTCTATTTGGAGCAGTGCCACCCCATCCAGGAGAAAGAGGTAGAAGAACCTTGTCACTGGAAGGCCCAAAGGCCTAGTAAAAGCCCATTGCTCCTCATCCAGGCCTTTACAGCCTCCAGACATTGGAAAAAGACATCCACAACGTTGCTCAGATGCCCTAGGATGGAGATATAAAGCTGGATATCAACAGCATATTAATTATATCTCCACTCAAATTGTCAGATCAATTAGTGGCCTCACATTGATGTTAAATAGGAAAGGAGAGGGAACTGATCCTTGGAACACTCCACAAAATAGGGGCCACAGGCTGGCTCTCTCCCTTCTATCAACATCAATTGAAACTGACGCATGAGCAAAAAGGAGAATCAGTGCGGTATATTGCTGCTCACCACCAGCTCCTGAAGTCTGTCCAAGAGAACACCGTGATTGATAGTATTGCTGAGGGGTCAAATTCAGTCCTGTAACCTGGCCTGAACCCTGAGAGGAAAGGATCCAGATAATCTCTTACATTCTTAAGTCTACATCAGAAGACCTTTGATTAATTTGTTTTCATATTACACAAATGGTTTTTGCAATTTCCAAAAGAATTTTACCATAGGGAATGGAGAATTGTTCTCTGAAGGAAAACTAACACAAGCGCATTTCTGGCTTTTTGTTTCTTGGATCCTAGCCACTGCTTTCTGGACACCTTTTTTTAAAGCACAGAGTTATTTTAGTTACTCTGAAATTTGGTATATCAAGCCTCTAGGAAAAATATACATATTTAATGAGATGGAAAAATAATATTTGGTAAAGGCTGATCAAGATAAATAATTTCACTCATCATTTAGTATTCACAAAATACTACGTCTTGTCCTAACCATTTTGAAATTGCCAGTAATTTTGAATATTCACCTGGGAATAATTCTTAAATCGTCATTAGCAAAGACACTATTTTAATCAAGTGTGGTGTATAATTTTATTTTATAGTACTTGATTATATTAGACTCCAGGTAGCCTTGCCTTCCATTTGAAAGGGCTGCTGCATTCAGTAGTCATTTTGGTGAACTTAGTTACATTAGAGTTTACTGAGCAGCAGTAGGCAATAGTATTAACATTCACTGACAAGACAAGGCTGAAAAGTTCATTTTGTTGACTTAAAACATGAGGTTTGTATTAATCCCTTAGGCTGCCATGAAGAATTGGGGGTCAAGTTGCTGGGCAGCCTATTATTGTGTTTCATAAGAACCAACTTGAATTATGTGACACACTTCCTTAGGATAATTCTCAGCATGGCTTATCTATATAGGTTAATCTCAAATCCATCTCATCTGTGTTCCTGACATAATTCTTTTGGTTGCTATGGATTAGCAAGGAAATATATTCATCTGGTTTCTTCACTTGCTTTTTTTTAGAAAGAATTCTAACATGCTTGTAGTCATTTTTCCAATTCATAAACATTTGTGGTATTTTTTCTTTCTTTATTGACCAGTGACTTTAATTTTGAAGAATAAGAGTGGGATTTAGGTAAGATGAAATAGCCATAGAAATAGCAGAAATATGATTTCCATAGATACCAGGTCAAACTCAAATTTATCTGAATGTAGACTGCAATTAGAATAATGAACATATCATAAAATGGAATCATAAAATGCAAAGGTTGCAACACACCTTCTAGTCCAACACCCTGATCAATATGCCTTAAATGAAAAAAAAGGAAGTCTCGGTCCCGCATCCATCTTGAGACAGATGCCAGGCTGCCATAGTGGGGGATGGGCAAGCTGTGGGAACGGGAGTGTAGCAAAGGGAGTATAACCACAACGATATTCTATCACCAGATATCAAGGACAAACTGCTGGCATCTGGAGGGAGTGACTGAAATTTGGCGCAGTTGACACATTGAGAGTTTCGCAGCAATAATTCAGCGCCAGAAAAATAAACACAGATGGCTGATGCTTCATTTAACGTCTTTACAAACATAGGTAGATTTTACAAACCAGTTGTAGATTTCTCCAACATGGACCAAACTCAAACAGAAACATGTTGCAAGGTCAGAACAGAGCTCCAGTCTTCAGCAAGCAAGCAAGTTAGTTTTTTCTTCAATAGACACACTCAGAGCTTCACATTAGGTACAGAGTTGCAGAGCTTAACAGTAGAGCAATGCCTAGGCTACTTTTAGTTTCAGTTTCCAGCCTAGGCTAATTCTAGTTTCAGTTTCCAAAACAGTCCTCATTGGCAGATTTGGTTGCTATGCCTATTCATTGGCTGACCTTGTTACCATGCTCTATTCCAATTCATGAATATACTCTGACAACACAGAAGATTGATTGGCCAGTGTGACCTGGGAATCACTAAATGGGGCAGGGTGTGAGTTTTAGTATGGAGCGGGTGGGAACACAGGAATTCAGGTTTTCCCCAGAGGTGCCAACATGACTTCTCTAATAAATTCTTACTTTGATGGACTTGTCTTGGAGTTCTGAATTGTTTGGAGAGTTTACTTGGAACGCTGATAAGGAAGTATATTACCAGGCTCTCCAATACTTACGTAAATGATACTTTTTTAAGTTTGTGCATTATAAAAAGGATAGCCATATGAACTTCTCAACTATTAACAGTAGTTTCCTTGGCTGTTTTGTTGTTGTTGTTTTTGGAGGTTCTCTGCCAAAGATTGGATGGAATTCAAAATTAGGAGAGTCAAATCAGAGATCAGCTGACAAATTTCTACTAATATCATTGCTCTAATAAATGGATTTTCTGTGTGCAGAATTGGCATTTAGTCTTATGAAACAAGCATGTCAACATCTCTATATCCATTATCACATGAAGGAGAGGAGGCTCTATATAGACTCTTCCATAGCCAATGAAGTTTGGAAATATGTGTATGTGTGTGTTTAACAACCTGACATGTTGTAATGATGCATTGGTGATAGTTGAGAGCCTGGTAATATATATATATATTATATATATATATATTATATATATTATATATATATTCATTTAAGGCATACTGTTCTTAAGATTTTTTTTAAAAGAGGTGTAACATGCCTTTTGAACTATAACCGTATCACTTGGTACTTAAAAAGGCAATTAGCTTATTTTCTTCTGAACTGTCCATGGAACATTTACTTAAGATTGGGGCCATGGTAATACTTCTTTTCTTCCATAAATCATCTTGGTTGGATGCAAAAATATTGCCTTCCCAAATAACATACTTTCCTGTTGTAAGATCTCTCAAATAGAGTGATGAATTAAATTTCTGACATGTGTAAACTAAGTATAATATTGTATCTAGGCTTGGAAAGAGATCAAAGTTTATTCTGGGTGTGTTGATAAAAATTCCCCAAATTATTGCTGTCTCACACATCATGTTTAGGCCTGTTGATGGCAGTCAGCAAAAATTGGAGTTTGAAATAATGTTGTGGTATGTATGGAATAGTGGGTGATGTTCGTTAGTAGATGCTAAATAGATCCCACAATAAACCATAATCTGGAGCATTTCCTGCGAAAAAGATACCTTCCCTTGCTTTGCTCTTTGATCTGGAATAAGAGACATACTGCTCTGTGAAAGAAGTGGCAGAAATTGACAGTATGGATGGCACAGTTCACTAAGTATAAAATTTACTTGTCGGAGAGGACTTTCTGTTAGTAATGCTGATTGTGCCTTGGGTTCTTATTTGTCTTTGAAAAACAATGGGTTTTTTAAATACTTACCTTAAGCTTTGCCTAGCATATGATAATCGATGGTTGTTCTCAGGATAGTCCAGATAAAATTCTGCAAAGAACAGACAAATCACTTTATTTATGTTTGAAATGAAAGGTTCTGTAGATATGGAAGTACTATCATGAGGAATGGATTTTGTGTATTTTCATGTTTCTGGAACAAGAAAATGTTTTTTAAAAGATTGATTACATTTGATTGAGTGAATAGGCTTTGGTTGTTCTCATGTTTTGCATTCCAAAAGAACTATCCTACTCCATTCCTTCTAATTTTAGTCCAGATCTGTGCAACAGACCCCTGTTAAATATGGCTATGGTTAAATTGGGACGATACCAAATCAAAAATTGTTTGTGTCCAACTCTTTCAATTCCACTGATAGCTTTTTGGTAATAGAGTATGGAACTTACATGCTACTTAGGTATCACTGATTCAGGTTTAGCAGAAAATTGTAGTAAAGGTGTTCTAAAGTATATTAGTCTGCACTGTAAGCTACTGAATTCTGGAATGGAAAAGAACAGGGTTGTTGCTCCTTGCAGAAAAGCTAGATAAACCAGTCCTTGTTATTTTCAGCTGCATTTAGCAACATGCCATAAATATATATATTGTAATTGCATTGATTTTGTATGCAACACACACACACACACACACACACACACACACACACATGCACACACTATTTATAGACATTATGTAACTTTCTGTTATCTAATTCATTTTCTCTAAGATCTAGGACTAAGATTTTCTCGACAGGGAAAGGACAGACTGTGCTTTGAACCCAGCTGAGCAGAAGCAGCTCTTTTGAGATGAAACGAGAAAGGTTTTAAATGGGATACAAGACATCTTTTTACAGAATTGAGCCAGGATTGAAGATAGTGGAAGAGATTAACCCACCTCTTCAGATTGCTTTGTCACTGAAACAAGATGTTTAAGGAATCCTATGCAGTTCTGAGCATAATATTTGTTGTCAGATAAGGTGGAAGAGGGGATTCAGTGAGGGCTTAGCTTGGAGACTTTGAGTAGCTACAAACCTGGGCGTCTGTCCCCCAAGACGTGGTCATTCTCAGGGGAAGGCAAGCAAGCAAGTAGGCCGTGAGGGGTTTGTAACTGGGCTGTGGAAACAGCTAAACACGCATTCTCATTTGCATGAGCAGTGGGCAAGCATGTGCGCGTGCACTCCATTTGTTTGAGTGGCAGGTGTGCGTGCATGCCGCTTGTAGAAATGGAGTTGGGGAACTCTGATATAGATGATAGACATTGAAGTTATTCATTTGTAGCTCTAGTTGCTGGCATCTGACATTTGTCTTGTTTGAAAGTATTCTAGGTCTTGATGACTATTTGGGCTATATATGTCATCTACCGCTAA